GAGAAATGTCAGTCTGCAGTTTGCTGGACCAATGACAGGGCATCCAAACAAAGTCAGACAAAACCAGTGCGAGACTTGACCGAAACAGGATCTGATCATCCTCATTCCTACAACCCTGCGAAGTCAGCATCCACCCAACAATCAAGTCCTTGATCAAGCTTAGGCTAAAACAAATGCCTTTGTCACTTGTGCCAATCAAGTACCGAATGATTCGTTTGATGGCTTGAGCATGGAATGCCTGGGGTTGTGGCTGAATCGTGCTACCTGATGTACACTAAAGGTGATGTCTGGGCGAGTGTTGGATGCAATGTAAAGCAGCATCCCAACTGCAGCTGGATAGCTCACTCTTCTTCAAATGGGGCACCCAGTTTGTCAGCGCCGAGCGGATCGGTGGCAGCAGGAGAAAGCTTAGAGCTGGCTTCAGACATGCCAGTGTATTCAATAACCTTGTTGATGAGCCCCTTTTGAGTCAATTCCACATTGTCTCCTGTCTTTCAAAATTAATACCAAGAAATCCAAAGATGTCTCCCTTGTCTTCCATGGTGAGATCATATCCAAGCTTCTGGAGCTGTCCAACATAGGACTCAATCAGATCATTGTCCGGACTGAGCCAGATTTGGTCATCACAATAATTTAATACCATGAGTTGATGCTCCTTATGAATAAATAAACAGGGTCTGCTTCTGAGGTTTCGAAACCAAGTTGGATCATCCCACGACATAGATGCTCATAGAATAATTTGGGTGAATCGGTCTGCCCATAGATAGACTTGTCAAGTTTCAAAACACAGTCCTGTCCTTCATAATCTTTGGTCGATAGTACTGAGGCAATTCCATGTACAATGGCTGATCGGCAGGCTGAGGACTCTGACAGAAAGCAAGAGTAAAATCAACTTGTCTCGATTCCCATCCATGCGCAGCTGCAAGAAGAAGACGGCTCTAACAGTGGGCCAACCGACAAGTGGAGAATATGCGGTGCCTTCATAGGACTGAAGGTCACCTCTGCAGCACCATCTAGATTTGAACTTGTTCAATTGGCCATCTGGTAACCTCTTGATTCGTTGTAACCATGTTCCGGGAACTGCCTTGAGGTGTGAGGGCATTGAAGAACGTTGTAAGATGTGCAAGTCCCTTTGCCTTCAAGACTGGCAATTTCTTTGTCCATTGCTGCCAAGAAGTGGTCTGATGTGGTCCCATCAGAGATTCCTCAGAGATGGGAGATCAGGGTCTCTGGAAGTTTTGGCCTTTGAGAGCCAGTGGGCTTTGAAGAAGGCAGGATGGAACGATTCCTGGGTGTTGGTCAAGGGTGAATATCCAGTTACCTAAGCTTGCAGCATGTGCCCTGAAATTGGAGTGATTCCAAAGGTCATAGCTAAAGACAATTGAGCAGGGATGAAGGGCCATAAGTCTCAGTTTGGGTCCATGTTCAGAATCTCAGGCTTTTTTTGTGAGCTGTCCTACTGGGTTTCCGACGTGGGGCACGACAGGGATTGCCTCGAGGGAACATCTGTGGTGGGAGTGCTTGACGATGGGAGGTTCCCTTGTCCAAGATGAAGGCAATTGTTGGGTCTGAAGCAATGGCAGACGGTCTTGAAATCTCCCTGTGTGAAACCTGGGGCGTGTGCTGGAGACGGAGCTTGTAAAATGTAGATCATTCCTTTGTGTCTTTGCTCTTGTCGTCCTGCAATAACTTTCTCCATTGTCGAAGCTTCTGAAAGATGAGATCGGTGTGTGGTTGATGGCCTTTTCCTCTGGAGTAAGCCAATGAGCTCCACTGCTGCTGAATATGTTGCCTTCAGCATGTCCATGAGGGAGCTGCTTCCTATGCGAGCCCTGCTCAAGGAAATTGGTAACAAACTGCATATGCCCGTAATTACTGACAGTCTCATGCGCTCTACAGTATTCGAAGACAACCAAGGTTGCCTGTCTCTTGTGAATGTTCCCAAGATGTCAGCCCGCAACAAGTATTTGGCATTGAAGTACCACTTCTTTAGGTCAAATATCGGGGAGTCGAAGGGCATCGTGGCCAAGTACATTCCGACTCTAGAACAACGGGCCGACATTTTCACTAAGGGTCTGCCAGCTCCACAGTTTGCAGTCATTCGGAAGCTCCTCATGGGATGGTAATCTACCTCAGCACGTTGCTGGGGACTCTCTCCTATTGTTTCTTGCTACAGCTTCATTTCAGCTGTAAGGGAGTGCGACGGGATACAGCTTACAATTCAGCTTTACAGCTTTATAATTGCGGGCCTATTCTAGAAAATAATCAATAACTGCTCACTTATTTGGAAATACAAACTTTACATCTCTTAGATCGTTACATTAATCAATCCACAATGGTATTGTCGCAAACAGCACTGGCAACTGTTGTGATGTCCCTCTTCTCCAATCGCTGGCTGTGTCACAATGAAGTAACTTCCACGCTTGTTTTCCTCTTCATCATACAGATCGAACGTATTCAGGAGATTCTCCCGCATGTCGCATCCACGAGACTTCATCAGGTCGAAGTCCATCTGCTCCCTCCAACGCTGACGGCTGAGTTCATGCTGGATCCAGTTTCCGTGGAAGTAAGGCCCTTTGTCAGGCGCCTTCATGAGACAGTGGATCGACTCATATGCATCAATCGAAGTACTCTTCTCTTCAAGTGGAACCACTGCTCCCAACCTCGACACTGCCCGAATGGCCTTTGCGTCAATCATCTTCTCAACTACCGGTGCGCGGTAGATATGCCCTGTGGCTGGAACAACGTCACGCATGATGATGGGAAGAAGATCAATGACCTTCTTGTTGGGGGGAAGCTTCCATCGGAAGTCCTTGATGAGCATGTACATCTTGTACGTGTAGCTGCGGTTGGATGTCTGCGTGATGATGGCATAGTCATCACGAAGACAGTCGATCCAACGTAGGTTGTATGCAGCGAAATAGTGGGACAGGCCACTGTTAACCGTGGCCTTGAACATGGTACCACTTCCATCCATCAACACAAGATTGTAAGACAACACAGTGCTGGACATGTCGTGGGTCTTGTACTCACGAGACACTTTCTTTGCCTCAACCACAGTAAAAGCAGGGGCAGATTCAGTCTCTTCGATGGCCGGTGACTTAACCCTTCTCCTTTCACCCAATACTTTGGTCAGGCTTCACTGTCACTCGTCGCGAAAGCCACCACCCATTGGCAGGACCTTGGGAAGAGCAACATACTCATCAAGCAAGCATCAGTAGCAAAATCAAGGCAGCCTTCCTCATAGTACTCAACTCTGGTAGCGCGGTTCATGGTGAAAGCTTGTAAGTACACAACGGCGAAATGGCGCAAAACAGTGTCACAATGAGGCTGACTTTTCGGTTCTTTCTTTTTTCAGTTAGCGTGATTCCTTTTCGAGCGCATACCCACGCTGATTTCGATATCTTTCTGACGATGGGAGATAACAGTTTCGGCCGCTCACTATTCCAACACAACAACAAGCTACCTTGACCCTCCGACCATGGAGAACAGAATCGGCATGCCACTCTCCAATGACATGATACAAGTCACTATACATTGTTGAGTACGGGGCATCACGTGCCGAAGAAAGAAACATAAAATATTGGCTCACTATTGAGCAAAGTCAATGCCACAACAGCGATATCCATTGGTTTCGGCAGTTTTTCATTGACCGACGGCAGTTACTGTTGGTGAACACACAACAACACATTTTATGTTTCTTTCACCTCACAGAGATAGAGCATTATCTACTATATAAGATGGAATATAACAACATGGACATGCGATGTGCTTTTCGAGGAACGGCAATCGGTCTAAGCTAGCCTCACAATGGAGTTTTCTCACTTTTCTTGTCGTGATAATGCTAGTAAACGGTGCATGTTTCACACTTTTAAGAAAACACCCCGTGGGACATCCTTAATTAAAAGCCTGTATGGATGCTTCAAAACCTCCTTTGTCTTCAAATGTACCGTCACATAGACGGGAGGCAATTCCAATTATCACAGTACGAACACCACCGCAGCCGTAGCCACTGCTTTGCCTCTAGCTTCGCCCCCCTCGCTCCTTCGAATATATTTAGTATTTGTTTTTCTCACCGGAACTGTGATGACTTTCGCTCTCTGTCTGTCGTTCAAGGCCTATGTGAAAAGAGGAGCCGACTTGCACCTGAAAACGTCTGTTCATTGAGATAACCTTCTACTTTGCAACATCATGTTCAAATACCTCCTCGCCGACAGTCGCCCCTTTCAACGTGAGAAAACCCTACACTGGCCTCAAAGTCAGTCACGAGTGGCGGCATCAGTTCCTGTCAAACCCAAGAGCCGTCCTTTGCCCACCATCGCCAATGCTTTGGCGGATTTTGAGCTGTTGGAAGAATGGAGTGAGGTCGGTTCCGAGGAACTACAAGACCTGCTGCTGGGCACAGAGAATTGTGGATGCTGTTCGCTTTATGCAGTGGACTGTGTTGAGCATTGGCTCTATTTTGTCTTTACCAAGCCAGAGGACGTGGAAAGTGTCTACCGGGCTCCTTTCTTGTACGGGGGTCAACAAATGAATGCTGATAAGCTGATCAGGTGTCCGGTAGAAACAGCACAAGACATTGTTTCTCAGAGGGTGGTCAAAAGCATCAATCTACCTCGCTTAAGTTTCATCTTTGGGGTTCCCCGGTCCGGGACCACACTGCTTTGCAAGATAGTCCACGCCGCAGGAGCATACTTCCAAAATGACCTCCGCATTGTATCTCTGTCCGAACCCGATGTCCTTTCAGAACTTGTCCGAGTCAGGTCCCCTGGCGGCAGTAACGATGATTTGATTGTGGACTATCTAGAGCTTATGCTGCCTTGGATCTGCCGTGGCTTGGACGGGGCTTCTTTGATTCCTCTCCTCCAAGGTGATGCCCAGAAGGACCCACCAACAGTCTTCGTCATCAAGCCCCGTAGTGAAGTGAGTCACATTATTGACTTGATTCAGCGCGCCTATTCGCGATTGGTGGCCGGCAAATGGATTCAACATGACACAGCAGAGCGGACAATCCCTTGCATTGTATCGCTTCGTCAATGTAGTGGTGTAGTCAAGAGCATGGCCAAGCTAATGAGCCGGGACATTCAGCAAGCCATGGCATTGACACTCGAGGAAGGAACTGTGGAAGATCTAAAACGTCAAATTCCTGTTTTGGCAAGGCAGTATTCCCAACAAGACGAAATGGACGAGACTGTTGTATCGGGAATTGAAATTGTGACAGGCATGTGGTGTTCTTGTGTGGAGAGTTGTGAGAAGTACGTTGCTAACCATTCGTCTGTGACGGTTCAGTATGATGAATGGAGTCGAGATCCGAGAAATCACATTGACACCATGTTGAGGCATCTGAAGTGCACAATTACTGAAACCGATGAAGCATTGATAGAAGCATGTTTAAAAGCGATGGACGAGGATTCCCAGGCCGGGACCAACATGAGCGGGCAAGGCAGGACGCTTCAAAATTGGACTGCGGAACATGACGAGGACGTGGAAAGGGCATTGGCAAAGATGAGATGAACAATGGCGTACCGGTAGTCGACCACAAGAAAGGGCTCTTCCAGAACTGCTACAGAAGTTCAGTTTGATGTCTTGGTTCCAGCTTTTGAAAGAGACGACTGACTTCGCATCTTTGCCGCCAACTAAGGCAAGCCATTCAAGGCTGCCACCACCAGCTGACCATGCAACCAAAACCACTTGTCACACAATGGTAACTACCAAGTTCTGACTTTTTGGTAACACGCTGTGCTCCTCCCCTGAATTTTTACCAGGAATTGGCAAGGCTACCGTATCAGGTCTCCCAATGGATCAAATTGTCCTCGTGTCGTCATTTCATAGGAACCCTTCACCCGGGCTAGGTTTGCTGCATGATTCGATTTTGCCTGTCGATGTGATACATGTTTAGTGGCACGGCTCGATGTTGACATGGAGTACGAATAGATCGAGCTCCATTCTTTAATAACTGCCAATAGCCGGAGTTTGTCCTTCGTGGAAAGGAAGCAGAACCATTGCAAGATAATACTGGTCCTTATCCTATACCTCGCAACTACTGCACTCCTCGAAAAGACCATGAACGAGTACTCTCATCCCTGCTGTGTGGAGTGCCCGAATCTATCTATTCAACGGATTCAGCAACGTCTACTACTAGCTACCGGTAGCTAGTCGTCCCGGCAAAACACAGTGTGTGGACTGTGTATGGTCTTCTTCGACCATGACCGTACAGTGTCATTGACCCGAAATTATTTATTTGTGCTTTGACGTCGTGACGAACCTCATCGATCATCGATGGCCGACCCGTGGGGGCACGATATAGTCGCCGAGACGAGTGAGGGGAGTGGGCTTTTAAGGATGTCCCACGGGGTAAGGGCCAGTTTCAGTCGTGCTTCGCAAACAACACGGGAATAGCACGACAACAACAACAAAACCTCCATTTGGACATGCTGCCTTCAACCAATTCTTGCTCGACACCAGTGGCGAGTTTACCCAGAGTGTTATAGTATGCCTTGTAGAGGAGGAGAAGCTCTATCAGGGTGACATAAAAGAGACATAAAATGTGTTGATCCATATACACGATCGGTGACTGAAGCTGGTATTCCGAAACCGGGGTTGTCGCGGTGACGCTGTTAACTTTGGTGATAAAGCACTAGCACGCATTAGCCTCTTTTATGTCTCTTTTGGCATGCTCAGATGCAGTAAAGTGCACTGTACAAGATAGTATATTACATGTAATAGCCAAAACAAAGGTATTGTATGTCTATTTGGCGATGCAAGCTGGTAGCATTAGGATGATGGAGGTTTTGTTGTTGTTTTCGTGCTATTCTCGTGTTATTTCCTTTCTTAAAACCAAGGAACACAGTATCCCCCGTGGGACATCCTTAAATTGCCTTCCAATCAATCATGGATACGAAGACACCGCAACCAAGCTATTGGTCGAGTCGAGTCGAGTCGAGTCGAGTCGAGTCGAGTCGAGTCGAGTCGAGTCGACAAGAGCAAGACATTTCCGGTTGGTTGCTTTCAACGGGGGTCAATACTACGTGGATTTGATTCGTTTTTACAGTAGTTATGCATGCAAGGTGACTTGTGATGTGCCTACTTGCATTCATTCTTGATTGTGCATGTATGTATGTATGTAGGACGAAATGTGCAGATGATTTATAATATGTACTTATTCATCATGTAGGCCCAGAAGCTCAATTAATTAATTGTGTGTAGCAATTCTTGCAACTTGAGCACGACGGCTTGTTGTGCTTCTTCTCTGCTCAAGATGGAACTGGTGGAGGAGGTACTACTCGAGACATCGACAAAAAAGTCATCGTCATCTTCTTCGTCTTCCACTTGACTACTACTGACAAAGGGATTCATGTATTCGACATTGTACGTGGTAGAGGCAATGCATTGGAGGCGTTCATTCCAGGGCGTGATGGTACCGGAAGACGGACTGAGAATGATTTGGGCCGTGGGCGATGCTTGGAGTATTCGTTGTACGACGTGCACCACGCCGGCTTGGGTGGCATCGAGACTGCAGTCGTTATTATTATTATTCGTGTCGTGGTGGTCCAGAGTGATCCACCAAACCTTGGGTGGTACCGCTGGCATGAGTTCCTGGTCGAATCGATAGAGGATTGTGGAGGACTGCAGCAGAAAAACGCAACAACGACGAAATGAGCTCGTGAGTTGGGTACCGGTATAGAGCGCAGTGTGCAGTGATCCGCAGCATGCTGGTGTTGTTTAGCGGTACGTACCTGTTCTCCTTGGGTTCCAATTTCGAGACTGTGCAGACCGTCATCCATCCATGATGTCGGTTCGTTGTCGTCGTCGTCAAATAGCTTTCCAAGAAAGATGACATCGAGGGCGGCTGCCTCTTGTTGGGCGTGTTGCTCCGCGTCCAGTATGGATGCATCCACGGGCTGCGGAAGCGTGGGATCTTGGCAGGTGCACTGCTCCTCGAGAATGCCCTCATCACCACAGAGTTGCGTCTGATTATAGCTAGCAGACAGAATACCGTCCAGTGTAGTGGGACACACGTAGTGACTCTTTTTACCGGCTCCCAATCCGTATTGAATGGAAAAGACGCACAATCCGAGAACCAACCCCGCCACGAGCAATCCTGCCATGACACAGGCGATTTGTTGACGGAGCGTCCACGGCTTGTCGGCATTATTCTTGTTGTTTTCTTCCAATTGTTGTTTTCGCTTTTGGCGGTATTGTCGATTCCATTCGGCCGACATCATGGCGGCAATGGCTCCGTCGCACGCCGTGTCTTGCTCATGGTGATCGTGAGCCAAAATATCCGAAATACTACCGCCCAGCAATGGATCACAGCCGTGATCATCTTGACTGCCGCTGCAGCTCGTCAACTCAAAATTCATTTCACTATTCGAGGAGGACAGCAGTGTTTCCGTATCTTCGTGCTCTTCCCAACCACTCAGCAAGCTGCTGCGTCGTCGTCCCGTGTGCAAGTACGGTTTTTCTTCCGCACTCGCTTGGAACAAGCCATCTTCGGGACGAGGTCGAGGGGCCATCTTGCTTCCAATGAAATCCTTGATGAAACAACTAGCTGATGATGATGATACAGCTAAAGGATGATGAGTCGGGGAATGGATAAACGCGATGGTAGCTGGCAGTTGAATCTAATAGAGGCTCGAAGGTATGAGAAAACGGAGGGACAGAAGAACGCTAATGTGGTCGAGCGAAGGTCCTCCCACCGCCTTTGCCCGAGCTGTCACGTTCCGGAAGCAAACAGCAGAAGCAACATAAAGTGGCAAAGCTGCCGGACTAAAAGACAGCTTCCTCTTCCAGCAACGGAAGATACGGCAGTTTAGTCGTAGGTGTATCAATCTTTAAGCCTCTTTAATGTTTAGGATTTAGGTCTCTTCTTGGTTTGTCATCCCAGCGTCTCATTTTTTGTGGCAATGGGCACAAGCAAGGGGGAGCAGTGGGGATGCGGGAGAGGCGCGGCTTCACGTGCATGGCGCTGTTTTGAAGGATCTCATGTATCGCCATTAGTGGTACCGTACATGTACTCTTGGCTACACGTGTATGAGGTTGGTCGGAGTAGTGGGCCAATAGACGCAGCGGTACCTGCAGATGATGAAAGATCCCTTTTGTTGGACGGACGCACGCAGAGGAAGGAACATGTGAAGAAAGTGCACTTTAGGCTAATCTTCTGACTCCGGTAAAGATAAAAGATCCAATCTATCAGATTCGATTCTGAGCGAGTTAGAGATGCAGAGGCAGCCAGGTAGCAAACATTCGAAGAATTAAACTGCTCAATGCTTGTCTGGCTCAGTAGGCAGCTGGGGATATAGGTTGAAGTCCGTAGGAGCAACGCCGTTTACACTGGCTACATACCCCCCCACAAGCTTCCAAAATGTTGCTTCCGCAGCCAGCTTTTGCTACTAGCTAGCCAGATACATGTCACGCCCATCCTTTCCCTTGCAGACCTTTCGAAGAAGCAAGGTTGATCTTCCCACCAGGAGATGGAAGTTTTGGAGCCAGCTGAACAGCTTGGACGTCATGTCTGCGCGTTGGCTGTGTGGTACCAATACGGTAGCGCCACCAGTACCACGAAGTACAACCCTCTAGAGTTAGCTGACCACTTCAAAGTATGGTTTGATGGATGGCTTCATCAGGGAACTACAGGAATGATGGGTTTGTACGGTATTGGCTGGGACTATGGTGGCGCGTGATGGAGTCAGTCGAGTCACAGTTTTGAGGATCCCAATGTGTTTTGTCCGCAATGGCAAGTCATTTATCATAGGTAAGGTTTCTTTTCCCTGACTGTTTGATGCGTAACCCCCAATGTCAGGCTGTCCCTTGCTCGCATTGTATCATCGTCCTTCCTATTTCAGTGAGCCATTGCTGTTCCAAAACAAAACCACGTGCTCCGGGAAAGTGTTGGCTACCTTATTCCAGCGCGTGATGGAGTCTGAGTCACAGTTCTTGAGGATCCCAATGTGTTTCGTCCTCAATGGCGAGTCACTGATAGTTAAGATTTCTTTTCCTGGCTGTTTGATCAGGCTGTCCCTCACTCACGTTGTATCATCGTCCTAACTATTTCAGTGAGACATTGCTCTTCCAAAACAAAACCGTTTGCACCCGAAACATGTTGGCTGGCTACCTTCCAAGAGAGTTGGTGCTGCCAAGAAGCAGCGTTATTTGGGAGAGTCCATGGCTCAGGAAGCGGCTGAAGAGGGTTGCGCCAATTGGCCTGGTGATATCAAAAAAATGCAAGTGTACAAGTGTGTTTACGACGTCATGGTGACTGGTGCTTTGGGGTTGGATAACGGGAAAGTTTCTATGGGTTAGAGGGAACGATGATGAGGTTGGCAGGCGCTGGTGGCTACTGAATGTGAATACAAGAATAGTGTGGTTATCAGGAAATGATTGAAGTTGAGCATCTGTGAAACAGCCAAAAGGCGACATAGATTGATGCAGTACATCTTAGAGAGATGCTGAGAGCCGCAGGGGGCACCAAGACTACCACGCAGACAGGAGGATAAGAATATGAAGAAGCCTATCATCCCGCCAGGAAGTTTTGTCCCATGCTTCCGCGAAGGGGACGACAATACGCCTCAGTCCCACTTGGCACCAAAGAAGCATCATTGACATTTCAGCACCACACTTATGTACGAGCCATTCGTATCGGCAGACTAGCTAGTACTTATGCATTTTTTTGGCTGTCTGACAACAGTCAGTTCCTAGTCTGTTCATCTAAGGCACTCTTGGTTATGCAATGGAAATCTAATCATCGAGATAAACTATTCAGACAGGCTAATATCAAAGCCGACTTGCCCGGCAACCACTCCAGGAGTCCCCAAGCATGCAATGTGCTTTGTTGAACGCAGTTTCCCGTACTCCTACCGGCGAGCTCACGATTTGCTTAGCAAACTTGAGGTTGCTAACTTCTAATGAGACCCAATGTGACCGTCAATGCAAGCGCCACTGACAAGAACATGAAGGGAACTGCATTGGCACTACTGGTGGCAGCGTTGGATTGTGCAACTACACTCTGCGGTCCAGAACCCCGGGAGTACCCTGGTGAAGTTTCGGGTGAGTCCTCGTCGCTGTCCGTTTCGGTGCCACCTGCGCCAGATCCGAAGCTTCCCATCGGTGGCGTGGGAGGTGGGGTTGCGGGAGTTTGTGTCGGTGTTGCTGTTGGCGGCGGGGTTGATGTGGTAGTATCCAGCGGTGTGCCGTCGGCTGTGGTTCGTTGGGTTCCTGCGGTTGCTCCACTTCGACTCCACCGTCCTTTTCCTTTGGAACTTGTTCCCAGTCGGCTACCAGCGGCACCCAGATTGCCTTTTCCACCCTTGCCAAAACTCGTGGCAGTTGCACTTCGACTTCCACCTTTGAGACCACCTTTACCTTTGCCTAAACTGACTCCGGATGATGTTGCACTTCGACTGAAGCTTCCTTTCTTTCCGCCTTTTCCACCTTTACCCCCGCTTACAGGAACTTGAGGTGTTACAGGCTCTACCGGGTATGGGAATCGATTCGATGGAGACAGCGGGACAGATGTCACGGGAGAAGGCACGGGAGCGTAGGTGACAGGGATGGGATTAGTGGGCATTGGGGTGGGAAAGGGGGTGGGAAGCGGTGTCGTAGGGAGAGGAGTTGGATTAGGAGTAGCTGGTAAGCGATCCCTGGCAGTTGGTACCGGAGTGGGCACTGGTGTGGGGGGCAAATTGACAGTTGTGTATCCATTGTCGTAGAGTCGAACCCAGTCCACTTTAAGCTCTGCTGGGAGTGGGGCGGTGATGTCATCCGGACCCCTTGAGGAACATCCTCCAGAGGACGCGTCACCGGCAGCGCTGCTGGATCCCTCACAACCGCTACTGCTGCTACCGGCAGCTGAACTGGACGTTCCTCCACTGGTGAAGCCACCGCCGACAGCCATGTTCAACAAGATATGATGGGGCTGATGCAACTCGGTACAGCTTGGACACTGGCCGTCTGTAATGTCGATTTCCCAGATCCAGTTTCCGTCAACATAGGTAGTCATAGAATCAGGCGTCCATTCCAGCTTGTAAATGTGATAATCCTGACTGAGGTCTGTGGGAGAATCATACGATTTTGCATAGGTGGCATACTGGCCAAAGATATCCCAGTGAGCTGCACTGACCACTCTTTGGTTGACGAGACCTTCATTGATAGCCAATCCTTGTCCCATTTCCATGATATCGACCTCACCAGCTAAGAAGCAGCGCGTGACAGCCAAGGAGGCAAAGCGAAGTGAGCGACCACTTGAAGAAGAGAAGCCGACTACGTTTGTGTTCCTTTTCACTTACCTTTGGGCCATCCGACCTGATAGAAATCTTCTCCCATGGTCCAAAAGCAGGGCCAAAGACCGGCATCCATGTCGGGCACTTGGATTCGGGCCTCGAGTGTCCCATACGTAAAGCTTACTTTGTTTTCTGTCTTGATACGGGCCGATGTGAACGTATTGGAATTTCCATTCCTTCGAGTCATGATTCTCAGAATACCATCCTGGACAATCGAGTTGGAGCTGTCGGACGTGTAAATCTGAAGCTCATTGTTCCCCCAACCATTGTTGTTTCCGACATCATGCGACCAGATGGAAGGGTCTGGAGTTCCAGTGTAGTCAAACTCTTCACTCCAGAGTAGATCACCGACAGCGCCGTCTACTGACAGCGGAGCCGACAAACTGACAAGTGCAGCCAACAGGATCGATTGTACTTCTTGTATTCTCATCTTGACTTTAATGCAGTTCGATTAAATTCTGTGGTGCCCAGCAGGTACCAAAGGAGCAAGGTAGTAGTGCCTGGTGAATCGGTTTGCTTATGCGACTGCCTCTGCACAACATTCACTTGGAATAACTGTAACGTTGCTGCATGATGAGCTTTGGGTATGGTAAGAGGCAAATAGGCGGATTCCCTTCAAGAAAATTGGCAAGTGTCAGTCGACTTATCAACAAGACTTGGGCTGCGTTGGATGGATAAATGATGCCCCGATGCCCCGATGGCAACTCCCGCACTACTTTTGCCGCTCATGAGGTTGCGAATCAAATCTTCCAATTTGTAGTTTCTATGCAAAATACGCTTTAATTAAGTAAATTGGCCTTAATTATATTGCAAATTGATGATTCCAACAAAAGATTCGGAACAGGAGCCGGCTCGATGGGACGCTGCGCATCAGTTGGGTCCGATTTTTGAAGCTACCGTGTTTTCAACAACATGTGATCACACAGGTCGATGCCCGATATCTATGTCAGTATGCTATCACTGCCAGTCCCCTCCTTCCAGTCCAACCCATCGTTCTGAGCAAGATTGCTTTCGAAGAGTATTGGCTGAACCAGGCGATTTAGCAGAGCCGGCACATCGGCTGGACGTATAGCCTATCCCTGCTGAAGTACTACTGCAAGTCTTTCCTGACGAGGAGTGACTCAGTCGAGTCGAGTGACAGTCAAATGTTCCTTGCAGTATCACCTGCAACATCACCCACCGAGGTGAGAGAGGTGATAAACCCCGACTGTGACTCACTGGACTCGAGGGGACGACAGAATCTCACAGAACTGTTTGACGTCAAGAGAAAACCTTTGCCTTTATGCACCGAGAAATCGATATGTGATAGGGTAGCTAGGTAGCAAGTGAGCGATGGTACTGTGCCCACCACCTGAGGAAACTGTTGCTCTGGGTCTGCAGTGCCACTCGCAACCCTTGACCTACTCGTCGCTCGCAAGCGATCGTCAGCTCCTCCTTACGCTTCATCTTTCGCTGTATCTGCACGAATTCAAAAGCAGGCGAATGCGCGTAAAGTTGGCTACATGAAGAAGACAAAGTTAAATTCTACTCTCTGAGTTTTCCGAGGGGCAATGCCATGCCTTTTGTCAAACGCAAGCCCTATGTGGATACATGCGTTCCGGAGACATCGTTTCGTAGGTTGTCATTACCCGTCTGAGTGTCAAGGCATTCGGATCCGTTTGTGGTTCCGGGTATGATGGCCACCGATATGATTAGTTTCGCCGACAAGGACACGTTTAGATCTCTGTGTGACGAGACTCAATCCACTTTGTAGTTCGGCATGGTGAAGTTTCCTCGTTGTAGACACGCAGTCTCAGGTAGCAGAAAAAAGCTAGCACGGATTGTTCAACAATGCTGCTGGTCAAAGTAGATTCTCAATTGATGTCCAACGTGCGCTACTAGCATCATGGGTTGCTAAAGTTGATGAGCTTGTCTCTTGCAGAACACAGATCATCTGTTGTCTCAGTTTCGTGCGTCGAGTGTAGCAAAAGGTTGGGTCAAATTTTTCGCATGTCAGAGCAACTCGCAATTCAAGAGGAAAGGAACACGTGAACCCGAAGTCCCCCGTTTTGGTTGTCATTCGTTCCAGTCTTGTCGCGGCTGGCTGAACACACTTCTGCCCAAAGTTGATTGCAATAACAGTCCCCGTCAATGAAAAAGGCACCACTACGACACTCGCACCGAGTTTGTCGCATATCCTGTAAATGTCCGATGTGGATCTCGTCCTCCCGTCAGACTACGAATTTGACCATCGCTGTCATTGCTTTCCGTTCCCGTCAATCCATCCGAAATGGCAAAGACGGGTGTTTCGGTTGTGGACATTTCCACCGACGTGGCAGGTTCGTACGATCCAAAGACAATGGCATCCACAGCAAAGTCGGTGGGATTTTCAATTCTCCAGTTGATCGAATTGTAGCTCTCCAAGATGAGAAAGATGGATTGATACTGGTCACCCAACAACAGGGGTGGATCAATCAAGACCAGAATCTCCTGGTAGAGATCATCCGATTCGTAATAGTGGACGTGGACGATATACGTAGTGACGGGATCAATAAGTTGATTGTCGTCGATGCGCGTGGTCGCTTCGTCGAGCGTCCACCATTGTCGTTTTCCAAAAAAGGAATTGAATCCAACGGTATGCCAATTGTTTTCGTACTCGACAATAATCTCGTGCACACGTCCTTGCTCAAACTCCACCAGAGTAGAGTCATCATTCTGTCCCAAGACTTGTCGTTGTCCATTGATTTCCAATGTGACAGTGCTCCAACTGAGGCTGAATTCAATGTCGAGAAATTGGGCATGGTCCGTCAGCACCACGAGAGTGGCATTCCAAATGGCACGAAAATCTTCCGAGGTGATACCGTAAAAGTCATCCCAAGGATAATTCATGGCGGGTCTTGCGAGTCCGGATTCTTCTCGAACCAGTGTGGTACCGTCATAGTAGCGTGCATCAAACGTGCTCAAGTCGTATCCCAAATCGGATGGTTGTTGTTGTGGAGTGTTGTCCATGGATGATGATGGCAGTGAAATGCGAATGGCATTTTGATCGTGTCGGTCCACGTACAGGTCGGCAGGGCGACCACCCGTGAGTTCCTCCAAGATCCAAGATCCATCCGAGGATATTCCTCCATTATTATTATAGTTGTCGTTTCCAATCACGAATGTCGGTATGGGGAATTGGTAGTAGTCGTCCAAATTGACTTGAAGGGATGTAGCGGGTTCCCTGGATCCATAGACAATGGCATGAATGGGAAGTAGAAGATTGTTGTTGGTGTTGATTGTATCCGTCATCTCGACACGCCAGTTGACCGACTTTGTCGTTTCGAGGATCAAGACAATCGAGTCATGAGGTGTTGTCGTGGAGTCTTGATTGCTAGCAGCATCCAGGAGGATGACCAATTCGTTGTAAGGATCAGAGGACCCGTCGACACGGACATGAACAATGTAGGTTTGTGGTCCAATGGCTTTTAGATTGACGAGTTTTTCACTGGCTTGCTCCAGGGTCAGGTAGGGTCGACCACCATTACGATTGCCCGACAATAAGTCCAAATACGAGTTCCACTCGACAAAGTAGAGTGGATTGTGCAGGATAATTTCCAGCCAGTATTCTCCTGGTTGTTCCAAAGAGACCGCTTCACTCTGTGGATTGGTAAAGGAGGCAATGGTGACGATCGGAGGAATGACTTGGGAGACTTGTACCGTGAGATTGACAAAGTCGCCATAGTCAAATTCCATTATAAGGAGTTGAGGGGCAGACACTGGAACGGTGGCGCTCCAGTACCCGGAAAAGTTTTCGGCAGGGATTCCATACCACTCATCCCCTGCATAGTGCAGAGAGGGCCTCGTCACGTTCTCCGAGTGGACCAACGTGAAATCATTGTAGTAAAAGGCTTCAAATAATAATAAGGGGCCCAAGGTACCGGTACCACTGCTGCTGATGGTAGCATGGGAAGATTTGGCGGATGAAATACTAGCCAGATCCTTTGGCTCTCCTTTTTCCTTCATGACATCATTCTTCTTTCGACGACGACGATGAGCACCAGACCAAGGATGGTCGCTGGCATAAAATTCTGAAAGGTTTCTCGTGCTCTTGGACCATGTTGTTTCTGTCGACTTCGAACAGGCGGTATCTTCCACACTACTAGTCATAGAAGCCACCCTTTCCTTCGGTAGTACAGATAGTAAGAAAAGGCATGATACACACAGAATCACAGCTACTGATATGCCCGTTATTGTCATAATATTGTGCATTACATGTATGGGGAACAGAACAGATCTGTTCGATAAAGGGGATACCGGTACAGCAGCATCAATCAAGCCATCTGCAATCCGAAGATTTGGGCTGGTTCAGGTTGAGGTCCTAGTAGTTGCGGTAAAATCAATGTAGTTGTGGTAAATCCTACGCACATACAATCATGACATTGAACCGGTACGGTATTAATACCGTAAATACTAAATACTAGTGCACGTGTGAAGGGGCGTAGTAATTTAATTAAGTCGACTTGAGGCTTGAGGCTGTTGCCAGTTCATTGGCCTTGAAGTTCTGAGAGATTAAAAGAGAAACTGCAGACAATGATTTAACATTAGTTCCGGAAAGAAGGCACTCGATCAATATGTCTTTTTTTACGCTGCAGCGTTGTTACAATGTCATGTATTTTGAAGAAGTGAAGAACCCTTCCTCAATGACTCTTTGGCAGCTTACGAACTATCGATCATAAGTAAAATTCGAAACTGGTTGGTGCAGGGTAGTGAAAAGAACCACTGACATCGTTCACAATGTCCTGTGCAAGTGCTGTGGTGCTATTAATTACCACAGGCTACGCGTGCTGGTCTGGCAGATGCACAAAGGCATCAATTGTTTCCCGACGCTGGCTGTGAGGTTCATATCATGCAAGAGTAGACTACAAGAGCACCCGGGTATAGCTCTTGTGGCTACCATCACCAAAGAAAAGAGACTTTGCTATAGAAGATTGATGATGATGGACAGCATGTCTATGATGCCCAAAGATACCGGTAGCTCTATACCCGATAGCAGTCAAACCGGACTGGTTGGTGAGCCAGGCGTATCGCTATCCCTGCCAGTGCAAGAGGGCTGTGAGGAACGGTCCAATACACAACCATCGCAGAAGCAGCTAGAGTCAACAAACACAAACACATCCTCCGTCCATTTGGAATCTAGCTTGCTCGCACTGACTCACCTTCTGGACATTGGCATTGACAATGATAATGAAGTTGGTGTTGGCCTTGTTGGTAAGCGTCTGATCCTCCAGCAAGAAGACGAAGAGCGTGCCAGGAGAAACGGAAGTGTAGCAACCACAAATTCCCAAGCAACAAGACGCCACAACTCTGATACCGGTATCCTGGGCATGGTTGGAAAACTGTTGGTCCTAGAGCAAGAAGAAGCTCAAGAAGCCGAAGCAGGTAGTCCATACTCGGAGAGGAATCCAGTACCGAGAGAACCAGGAGTGGGGGAAACTCCAACAGCTCCAGCTCATTTGCGTAGGAACCGCAAGGTGCGTACCGGTAGCACTCTTCCAGGGGCAGTGTCAGTGCAAGGGATTCAGTGGCAACAGCAGCAACAGCGGCAGGTTCCATCACAAGCTGTAGCATACTCTTCCGAGTCCGAACTTGACATTTCAATTCATGACAATCATGCAGAAGAATTGGCGGAAGCAGAGGCAGTGGATGATGTGGAACAGCCCCAGACTGTGGCTCATCCTTCAATAGATGGCACCCACAGAAGGGAAACCATTACTCAGAAGTATCAGGTTCGCTTTGCTGGGTTTCTGCTCTTGCTCTTGCTCGGTTGTGGCATCATTATTGGTTCCATTTGCGGGGCTGGCTTATGTGGCAGCAGCAATGATTCTGTTGAGCCTTCAAAGACTTCCAGAGATATTCTCCAGGCACCCAAAATGGGAAGTGTCATTACTGGCATCCTTGGACAGGACTACTTTGATGGCATTGAAGAATTTGGTGAAAGCAATGATCATGATGGAAGTCAGTTCTTGCAAGAGACAAGACAGAAAGCTTTGGATTGGATGGTTAATCAGGATCCACGGCAATTGGAATATGATGCTCCCAATCTTGTTCAGAGATTCCTTTTGGTGCTCTTGTACTATCAAACCACGAGGCACAAGCCATGGAAGGATTGCAATCCACCATCAACTTCTCAAGCGAGTGCGTCAGTTAGGTTCTGCTATGAACCTGACCGTATCACAGGCGAAACAACCAGCAACATCTGGGGGGATCAGTGGCTCTCTGCCAGTCATGAATGCCAGTGGGCTGGGGTCACTTGTGAGATGGGACAAAGTAAAGAGAGCGAGGTTGTGGAACTGGTGCCTTGTAAGTCTCATAGACCAAATGTGCGGATTCTCCCATTGATTTCTCATGGATCATGATCTTCAGGGTGGAATCAGCTCAACGGCCCTCTCCCATGGGAGATCACACGATTGCCACAGCTGAAACAACTTGTGTTAGGAGGCAACTTGCTGACTGGATTGCTACCTCCAGTTCTCCTGTCCAAAGAATCCAGCCCCCTCTTGAAGGCTCTCCAGTTGGACAACAACCAACTCTCAGGAACCATCCCTGCAAGATGGTTTGAAGGAACTGAAACACTTACGAAACTTGATATCTCTGCAAACAGACTGACTGGCCGAATCCCATCAGAAGTGGGGTTATTCCCTTTGACGTACCTGTATCTAGACCACAATTCAATGACAGGGTCTCTGCCACTGGAACTGTTCTATCAGGGCTCTATTGAGTGGCTATTGTTAGGTAACAATGATGTAAGTAACTTTATCTTTGTTATTGCATGAACATGCATGCATGCTTGCTTGAAGCTTATGACCTCCTCTTTGCTTTTTGCCGCCACAAGCTTACTGGTATCCTGCCAAGTGAAGTTGGGTTGTTGACAAACCTGAATTACCTTTTCTTGAGTGGCACAAGTCTATCAGGATCCCTGCCTTCAGAGATTGGTCTGGCAAGCCAAATGCAAGAGTTGGGGGTTTCCTACACCAACATGCAAGGGACACTCCCTGAAGAATTGTATGGACTCACGGGACTTTATGCTTTTACAGGCAGTGGCTGCAACTTCTCTGGGACCATCAGTTCATCGCTTGGTCTTTTGACAAATCTTTATGTTCTGGAACTAGCCAACAACAACTTCCATGGCACTCTTCCCAATGAGATCCAGGCACTGACAACGCTGAGACGTCTACTGGTGAATGGGAATCAGTTTACTAGCACTGTTCCAGTGGCTGTGTGCCAGAATCTGTATGCCGAGGGGATACAGTCCAAGGTTGTGGCTGACTGCTTGCCGGATTCAGAAACTGGAGTTCCTGCCATTCAGTGTTCTTGCTGCACTAGCTGTTGTGACAATACAGGATATTGCCTTGCCCATTGATTTGGTCCCAAATGGTGTATAAGGTCTGGCTAGACCGGTCCCATGTTTTAACACCTGATCCAATCGAGCCTTGTCCCGAGTTTTCCCCGCCAAGCTAGTAGTCTGCAACTTTCTTCTATCTTGGGGTACCGGTAGCACCCGGATTTGCGACGATCATTGTGCACGACAAGGATTATGTCACAGACAGGTTCGCCCTGCTCAACTGATGACTAGTTGGTTGGAGAGACCAAAACCTTTACTTTGGTTTTGGTTTTGGTTTGTGGAACCAATACAGTACCTTTTTCAGAGTTTTCGTTCATGAAACAAAGGTACTAGTACCATATACTACGGGTACCGGGAAGGCGAGGTTACAGATCATAGAGCTAACTCTGCTATTGATCAATAAGGTGTCTTCCATTAGGTCTATTGGTTGGTAATTGGCGTTCTATTATCTTACTACGTACGAAAAGTCGCTCGCGGACTTTTGCATACAGGAAAATGGGTACCGACACAGGAAAATGGGTACCGACACAGGAATCATCACCAAAACACTAGGAAATAACAAGGAGGGATGAATCCGAAGGAAGGCTTGATAGTATTAATAGTAGAGATAATAGAGGTGCGATCGATCTATCGTTCCGAATAAGTAAAACAACTCACCTGTTGACGGCCGAGCTCGGATTTCTCTCCTGAATACCATAGAAATCCAATGAAGGAGAGAAGTCAGCGCTGTACCTTCAATTAACACTCTTGATAATACCGGTAGGCCTACCTCATTGTGATCGATTCGATTGATCGATCGATTGAATAAAAAACTCCTCCTACCGATAGCTACCACTCTTGTCGGCCAGGCTTGGATTTACTTCCTGTCTACCATATGAATGCAATGAGGGAGAGAAGTCAGTGTTGCGCCTTCCATAATAATACGCTTGATAGGCTTTCCTTGTTCCAACAGTAGTAGCGATCGGCCGATCGGTGGCTCTCCACCATTGTCGTGGTTGTTGTTGTGTTGTGTTTTGGTCGGGTTTGTTCAGATTCGATTCGATCATTCAAAATTCAACGACGAGCGAGCCAGGACGACACATGATTGGTCCAACCAAAAGTACATTAGAGTTAGGCGTTTCAGTTGAACATTATCTGTTCGTTTGAGCAGGGCAAACCTGTCTGTGTTCTAATCTGTACCATATTGTTTCGTGCCTGGCCTTTCCCTTTCCTAGACGGGTTCCACTTTTGTAGCACTGTCTGGTCTCGTTTCTACTCAAATTAGTTGTCTATCTTGAGCGGTGATCTAGTGCCTCGGAAAAACCTGCGGATGGCTAGCCGCTTCGCAGGTTTATCCGCAAAGTGCGGATGACCGGAGGCAATATGCCTCCTTTTATCCTCAACCAACAGATGCCAACTATGGCCACCGGAGACCGCTCCACCGGCACGAATAGTAACATCTGTAAAGAGTAGAGAGTGTGTTCGATTCAAGAAGCCATTGTAGTAGTGGATTGTTATGGTTTCCTGTTGTTGTTTGTGATTTTTGAGTGGATGCCGACTGGATAACAGCGACCGATTGTCAAGATAATAGATGACTTGGATAGGAAGTTAATAGACACTCTGACAGACACTCCGCACCTGATCAATAGCCCTCTAATAGCCCTTGTGATGACAATCATCCTGATGGATTTCAAGGCAGGTTTTGTTGTTGTTGAGTAGCTCACGACGAGGGATCTGTTGTCGAATTCCAGCGCGATTGTTGCCACAAACTGGAGTTCCCAAGTATCGCTCTTCTGTGTAGTGGAAGATCTCTTTCTTGCATTGAGAGTGGGAGCACTCATTCCGTGTATCTTTGCCACACACAACACATCGTCATTGGCTGGTTGATTAGAGCCATCTTGCTCTCTCTGCTTCATTGGATCATGATATTGACCTTTCTTTCTACCAAAATCAAATGCAGCTGCAGGTCCTCCTCCGGCAGTGGCTCAATGCCACCACCACAAATATTGACTGTCATGGCTTCCATTTGACTGGCTAACCGATTAACTCCTCCAAACAAAGCGCTCGACATGCCTCCAAGTCGACTTGATAACTCTGAATCGGTATCATGGAGCCCATCAGCCGCGATATCTTCCTTTCCACTGATCGGAGCCCCACGGTGGAATGGGGTGTTGTAGCAATCGTAGGCAAGTCGATCAGCAAACTCCTCCACTGTCAAGTTTTTGAACCGCGGCAGTCGATACTTTAAAGCCTTCCAAGCATCGATAACAGTGATGCCAATAATGGTGGTGACAATTCGAAACCAAGGATTGGTGGTCTTCCAGTAGCGTTCAAGACCAAGGACTGACTGTCGCGCATGGTTATGCATGTCAATCACGTTGTTGTATCCGAAGTACAAGGAGAGGGCCTCCGGTCTCTTCACTGACCGCTCATGAACATTGCCGAACTGGTCAGGAAACTTGGCTTTGTATGGTCGGCCATACAGCGTGGAAGTGGCATTCTTTGTTGTGATGAAACACAATGCTTTCCTTGCGTTGTACTTGTAGCCAATAGCCACCAGTTCAATGTTAGTCCGTGGTGTTGTACAAGTCATGACAAGATGAGATCCACTGCGCCAATCCTTTATCTTCTCCTCAATCTGCTTCTTTGGAAACCAGCCATGAGCTGTTTTGACAGCCGCAATGAACTTGCAAACTCATGGCCATCGTCATCTGCTGATTGGCCAATTTTGAAGCCTTTGAATGAGCTGAATAGGTTGGGCTCTTCAATTGGCTCTTGCTTTCGAACCAATTTGAAGTTCTCTGCTGCCTTGACACTTCCAAACCAAGAGTCCGCAAGGACGAGATGTCGCTGGTTGTTCTCTTGCATCGTTTGGCGTTCCTTTGTGGCCAATCCAGAGTTGAATCTTCCAAGTGAAAGTTGAAGAGTGCAAGCTCCGGTTGTTCCTCCGGCTGCCGAATGCAACGGTTGCAACCTCATTGGCTTGGCTCCACGCTGGATTTCCAAGTACAACATGATGCCAGTCAAAGCACAGGCTGCACATTTGAACTCTGTTCCGAGTGGCTTTGGCTTGCGAAAAATGAAAGAGAGGAAAGGAAGCAATGAGGTCTTTGTGCTCCGCAGTTGGTATGGACTCATTAACTCATCAAGGACACGGATGAAGCATGCCACAATCCACTTCTGCCGATTTGCGTTGAAGTCCTCAACAAGACCAGCTATGGGATGCCATGGGTCTGTTGGGTTCCTGCCATCATCAAACGCAGCATGGAGGAATTGCTTGATGATATTGAATCGATACCATGAGATGACCTTCTTGCCTTGCTTGCCGGTAGCTTGGTCAAACTTGCTCCTGTCAATCTCCATATTAATGACAGGTGCAAGGCGTCCAGGAGGTTGGTCGGACTGGAAAAGCTTCTCTCCTCCTCTCTTGAGAGGACAGGCAATGAAGATGATTCCCCAAATGATCCACCACTCAGACTCTGCAAGCAAACAAGTAGCATTGTGGTGAGCACGGATAATGAGCGAAATAGATCCAATTGTCTGTTAACTCACCAGATACATAGCCGACTTTCTTCTGTCTTGCTTTCGTCTCATTGGCTTTGTTAATGGCAGCATTCAAGTTCTGCCGATGACGCTTCCAGTCGCCAGGCCAAAGATGAATGAGCAACATCAAGAATGGATACGCATACGATGGATCAGAAGTAGAGTCAAAGTTCTGAAATGCATGCTCAAATTGGAATCCAGCAACGCCAACCTTGCGAGCCTCCGGTATTGGATCCTCCGGGATGGAGTCGTCCGCTATTGTCCACGTGAATACTCACTTGTCTTTGACAAGATGGAGGCGACCTGAACTGACTCTTGATTCCGCCACCTGGTTCCCTTCAAAGAGAACGGTTCACATTGGCTGCGTGTCATCTGCCTCTCTGCAGTCGTCCATAACCAGTCCAATGCGTTACCGACCAGATCTCTCTTGTACATACACGCTCGCCAATGCCAATCTTCTGCTTTTTGGGTGGTTTAATGTTGACAGTTCAAGCATCCTCGAGTAGCTGCTTCTTCTCTTCCTCATATCGCAGCCACTTTGCTCTGTGTTTGTCCGGATCTGTTTTGATGCCTCGAGCCTCAACGAAATCAGCAGCGTTGAATTCTTGTTCCTCGTTGGCAACTGTTTGCTCATTGGCAAATGGGACATCTTCCTCTGGCTGGTCATCCGGATTGATGGATTCCTCATCATCAGATTCTTCAACAGTTGTGATGGTGGGAGTAAGAGTGGGTGGGTCAGTGATGCCTTCCTCTGAGATTGAGCCCGACGCCACACTTGCAGCTGGCTCATCATCAATCAATCCAATCGGCTCATCATCATTCAATCTAACCTCGATCCCTTCCTCCTCAATTTCATTGTCTAAATCCCAAACGGCGGGGGGCTGGTTCGTCAACGTCATCTTCCATGCCGGATGCTTGCTTTGGAGTTGGGAATTCACCATCTTTGGGGTGTCAGATTTGTCGGGACTTCAGCTCGAGAGTCGTCCCCGTCAGATTTGCTGTGTCCACATCCACAAGATCCACCCGCAGATGCTTCCCCAATGTGTCTACAATGATAGCAGGACACGTTTCCTTCTTGATAATGACCTTGGAGCCCTTCGAAAAGCGAGGTTTTTTCCATCTTTGGATCGACGGCTGGTGCTGATGCTGGTGTTGAACGGAAGAGTGAGGAAAGCGTCGGATGTTCGAATGCTTGATCCATCCGTACACGTATTGGCCTATCGGCCTATCGGCCGACAAACTCGAAACAGGCAATGCATCAAGTCAATCATCCCTTACAAGCAAGAAGAAAGAGTGGGCCTATATAGCAACAACATGAATGCTGGATAACGTTCTTGCTCTCTCAAACACAGGGGAAACGAAAGTTGTGGCTCGTTCCGATCCGTCTTGGACGCATGCCAACTGGTGGAAATTCGATCCAACACGTCATTTGGGACAAAGAGATTTAAAGAACGGTATTTTATAGGGTTAAAGTTTACTATTCAACGTTCGGAATT